AAAGTTGTCTTGACTAATTCCCACATGAACATGCAACCCTACATAAGGATTGCCATATCCATCCCAGTTGTTATCCTAAGCAGGGGCCAAACCCATAAGCTTACATAAGCTCTGCTAAATTTCCACTAGCAGCATATACAAAACACAGCAACATTTCAAATATAAGCAATGTATGTTGTATTCTGATTTGTCACTGTAAGATGAAAAATGTGACTAATTCCCACATGAACATGCAACCCTACATAAGGATTGCCATATCCATCCCAGTTGTTATCCTAAGCAGGGGCCAAACCCATAAGCTTACATAAGCTCTGCTAAATTTCCACTAGCAGCATATACAAAACACAGCAACATTTCAAATATAAGCAATGTATGTTGTATTCTGATTTGTCACTGTAAGATGAAAAATGTCTTTTATCTCACCCACAGTACACCAAAGGTAAAGGTATGTCTTTATTCAGACTAGCATGACATGTACCAGTATACTACTCACAAAAATAAATGGTTTCAAAAAGATCTCAAAATTCTTCATTTTCACATTTTATGTACAGATTTTGTCTGCTTCAAACAATAATGACACAAAAAGTAGTATCTATAATGGTAGGTTCCAATATTTAATTCATGAAAATCCTGCCAGCTATTTCTCTAACTAAATACCTTCATGTTCACCTTTCTCAGCTCTGAGATGAAGGGGAAAATAATCTTGTTTTCTTTTCTACACTGTGCATGCTAATGATGACATGTGATTACAGCTTTAATTACTTACAGCATGAAGTCTTTCTACAAGTTTCTGATCACCCAGACAATTTTTAGTGTCGAACCATGAGTCAAAATCCTGTGGTGAGAAACAGCACAATTGGTATGAACAGTTTATCATCTGTAGTTTTAACAGACACATATTGACTCTCTTTCATCTGGCTGAGAGTGGCATAAATCTTGAGACAAATGACTTCTGTGAGTGAAAGAAAAATCAGTCTGCAATTCTGTGCCAGCTCCCCAGCACATAGTATCATTCAAGTCAACTGCATAACTCTGCAGATAAAGTACTACTACTCTGCTTAATTTACAACAGTCCATGCTCACCACTGCAGTGTGCATGTTCTTCCCCTTAGTCCTTGTGTAATGATGGGGCAAGAAGTTAAAAAAAAAGGTAAACAGAATCCTTAAGGGAGATGGACAACAAGAGTAAAAATAATGGAAGCAAGCAATACAAGTGCAAGGAAGCAATAACAGTAAAGGAACAGAAAGGTTACTCAGATTCTTAATGAAAAAAAGGTTTATGCCTATTTGGCTGCTTCATAATCTTGATTCTGCATTGCTTCCCAAATTTTGCACTATTTATTACTATTAGTTATATTTTTGCACTTGAACTATTTAAAGCTTTACATGTGCTATTACTGGTCTGTGGACATATCTACACTAACAGAATGCACTAGGTAGAGCAAAAAAAAGTAATCTACAGTTAGGTAAGCCAAACAGCTTCTCTTGAATCCAGGTCTTCCACAACATATGTCTCTTACTAAGCTGGTCATTCTTCTCTTCTACAGACAGCAGCCTGGGAATCAAAATAACAACACTATACTTGCAAACATCAACTTACATCTGCAGAATTGAAGACATCAGGTAAAAGAAAATTGAGTAATGCCCACAGCTCGTGGAGGTTATTCTGTAAAGGAGTTCCCGTAAGCAGCAATCGATTTGTTGTCTTGAACTCACGTACAATCTCTGACAGCTAGAAATACAACAAACAGTTATCATCACCAGGTACATTGAAGCACAGTGAATCTTCATCAGTTTCTGAAACCTAAAACAATGTCAGTTAAATTAAAGACAGTGAGCTACCTATGAAATCCATATTTACCACCCAATAGCTTGTGGCTTCTGTTTTAAAAAAACACATCCAACACTTAAAATCTGCTCAAACCAGATGGAATCTTTTTGCATCAAACTAATTTCAAAGTATCAAACAATTTTGAGTTTACCTTGGATTTCTCATTCTTTATTCTGTGAGCTTCATCGATTACCAGGTACCTCCAGTTAAATTTTTTGAAGACTGACTTCTCTTTAATTACCATTTCATATGATGTTACACAAACATCCCACTCACCAGGCATCATAACATCACGGATAAAAGCAGCCTAAAGGAGAAGGACTAGATTAATAAACATTTATAAACAGGAACAATTTATATGGCATTCAATGAAAGCTAGCTCCACCAACATTACTGATGCACTAAGCTAGCACACAAAAGATTCTGAAACATTTTTTTAGTAACTCAAAAGTTACTGTAACAAAAACCTTCAATCCTTTGTACTTTAGGCACAGAGAAAGATGGGGTTAAGCAAAACACTAATTTTCTCCTATTCAAAATTAAGTATTTACTCTTCAGTATGATCTCTCTATAATTTAGACACAGTACATACAACCTGTAGGGGAAAAATCCTCTAAAGCCTGTCGAAAGATAATCCGCAAGTGTTTAAAAACAACTCACACAGCCCATTCCAAACCATGTTCTCTCTCCTATCTCCCTCTGTTCCACCTCTGTTTTGCAAGGGATACTTATCTAGGCACATAAATCCTTTCACATGAAGGAGTATCACCCTATGGGAAAGCTGCACATACAGGTCTCCCCTTGTGCAACTTGAGATCATTTCCTCTTGTCCTTAGCACTTGCGAAAACAATCCCAGTTCTCTCAGCTGCTCCTTCCAAGTCTAGTTCAGAGCCTTCCTCAGCTCTGCTGCCTTTCTCTGGACACGCTCCAGGACCTCAATGTCCTTCTTGTAGCGAGGAGCCCAGAACTGAACACAGAATTCAAGGTGCCTCACCAGTACAGGGCAATGATCACTTCCTTGGTCCTGCTGGCCACGCAGTTTCTGATACAAGCCAGGATACCATCGGCCTTCTTGGCCACCTGGGCACACTGCCAGCTCATATTGCTAGAGACTTTCTATCCTCAAGCAAGAGGCAACCATGCAAACCATATGAACAGCCACAGAATTCATAGGAACATCCAGCTCGTTGATCCCCTTCAAGTTAAAAAAACAGCCCATATCTATTTTAAGGCCTTCACAACGAGAAGTGAAAAGCTCTACAACAGACTCCCAGTTACAAGGCAAGGCAGGCATGTAACATACGAGTCAAGAGTAGAAGTCACCTAAAAAAGGTGAAGAAAGAGGTAACAACATGAGTGCAAGAAAAAACTTTTTAAAAAGAGTAAACACTGTCACAATGCAAATACGGAAGAGATAAAAATAGGTGCAAAACTCAAAAGAGGAAGACAACAAAAAAAGGGGCAAGTCAAAGAGCTGCATTCTGATCTCACTCTATTATTTCATCTACTTATTTGCATATTTTCCTCACAGTTACAAGCATAACATTTTGCATTTTCAGCACTAATACAGTCAGAGATTACTAAAATATCCTATAATTAACGAAGTAGCTTAGGGAGAATTCCACATACCCAAATGCTAGTTTTTGCCAAATAATGCAGACATTTTGAAATGCAGAGCACTTACTCTGGCATCTTTATCCCCGATAAGGCAAACGGCACGTAAGGACGGGACCCAGCGCTTGAATTCATTCATCCAGTTGTGCAAAGTTGATTTTGGAACCAGGACCATGTGTGGCCCAGGAATGTTTCGGTAATGCTTCAGATAGCCTAACAATGCTATTGTTTGCAGAGTTTTACCAAGACCCTGCATTGACAGAGGAGGGGGGGAGAGAAACCTGCTGAAGTAAAATACCACACAGAAATAATTTCAAACAATTTTCTTACTGTGTAATTCTGTCATTTAAGTTGTTTAAAGCAAACGACACAGCAAACGTTTGCAATACAAATTCTTTCATGTTACAATTCCAGATTTGAAAAAACAAACTGTTGTAGAATTAAGCACACTACTGCATATATATTAAAAGTATAAACACTTTAATGTTGCTCAAAAAATACCACAAAAATTCCAAAAGATCACTGCTTACCATTTCATCTGCCAGAATGCCATTAACACCATTTTCATACAATGAGATCATCCAGTTCAAACCTCTAACCTGATAATCTCTTAGTGTTCCTCCTTTCACATCTGAAAATGTAAGATTCCTCTAAGTAGAAAAATACTAATTCTAAGTAGAAAATTTTAATTGCTATCTGCTCAGATTTTAATCACATCAAAGCAATCAGAAAATTGTCAATACAACACTTACATGAAGGAGACTCCTCAAATCGAATGCACACACTGGATGTTTTTCGACTCTCAGACAACAGCTCTTCATCTTCTTCTTGCTCCGTGCGTCTGTGACGGTAACTGAAGGAAGAACCCAAGATTTGTGTTTGCATTAAATAATCTCAAAACAATGACTACAAACTCAAAAGACAAATCACAACAGAAGCAATTAATATCTACAATGTGTATGCTCTTGTATCCTGACCAAAATCTTATCTTGTTAATAAGTTATTCCTTAGGAGTCGTTCCAGCTTTAATTAGAGAGACTGATATGAAGTTCTCTCCTCTAGAGCCATAACTATAATCCAACAAGTATCATGAGCTCTCTAAGGCACTTTTTAATGAGCAACACAGAAATTCAAGACACATCAGTGGTGACCTTGGACTCAATTACTTGATAACTATAACATTCAGAAGAATCGCACATTTAAATTTAAAAAAAAGTGCAAAAAAATGTATTAAACAGAATGTCACTTTGTAAACATTCCAAAAACTAGCAGCCTGCTATTCCAACACCCACCAGAGGCACTACCCACAGGTGCCTGCAATACTGACTGATACAGACAGACTGGTGCTGAGGATACAACATCCACCCTGCACGGACACTGTCTTGTTTTAACCTGCTCTAGCTCCACTCTGGTCCCACTGACTTGTCCACTAGCCACTGGAACCCATCGAGTTCACTTCTGGAGTGCACCTTTTAGTTCAGCATCATGCAAATGAAATTCAATTCACATCCACCAAAATCACTCCACAATACAGACCAAAGCATTGTAAGTGGCAAGAATCAGACACTTTACTTTAAAAGTGCATTCCTGATCCAAGGTCATGGATGGATCAGCATGCACACACCAAGCCACTTGTAAAGATATACACCATAAACAGGAAAAGTTCTGGATTTACTGGAAATACAGTCTCTATGGAAACTAAACAGATATGTTACAATGCATAATTTGTTTGAAAGCATAGTAAGTCAGAAATAAAAATAAAACATACTCCCCAGCTGAAATCAAACTCTGTTTTTCATCTTTCTTCATCCGTGGCCGTCCCAGCTTGACTTTCAGTGGAGATGTTGGTGATTTTTGTGCTGCAGGTTGAATAAAATGTGCAAAAAGTTCTGTCTGCTTCAGGAGGAATTCAAACCTTTTCGCTCGATCTGCTTTCTAGTTTCCAAAGTGGGGAAGAGAATTAAAAAGAAAAACAAGTAACTTTTCTTCATAAGATTGTGTTTTGATTAAGAAACAGAATTCAGACAGTCATAAGAAAACTTATATGAGGAAAGAATGACAAGACCATCTGCCTACTGTTAAACAACTCAGAGACCTGGAGCTGCTTCAGCTTACAGCTAAGCATGAACTGCTTTAGAGCACCGAGTGTAACATGCTGGAGTTCAAAGGATCTTTCCTGAACACCACAACAATCTGGAAGACATGGCAGGACTGGATAACCTTATCCCAGTGCCTCATTCCCATTCAAATCTCAAAGAACCCAGAACCAGTTTACTAGTATACACTGCTGCAGTCTGCATGGCACACCAGCACCTGTGAAGCAATGCTTTAAGGGACCGTCTACAAAAGATTAAAATAAAACTAATGTTATGACTTACAGTAAAGGGATGAAATCCTAACCTTGCTCATGCCAGTGGCAAAACTTCCATCAGCTTCAAGTCTATCAGGATTTGATCCAAGACAACAATGCAGTAGCTCTGCTTTTAGAAGTATTTCTAAAGTAACGGATATACCAGCTCAGCATTGCTTACACTGAAGTTTGTGAAATTTGCTGTCAGACTTCAAATTTCAAGCATTTCAGTTTTGCCATCTCAATGGGGCATATGCACTTCATTATGTCAACACAGCAAAACATATGTCCTTCTCTATATTTAGAGGACAACATGTTACATAACTGCTAAGAAAAATATGATAACATGCAAATGCTATCTGACAATGAAATTGTTGCCAGTTTCTCTATGACATTTCTAAGCACCATGTAACACTGCACCACTCAAAGCAATTTTCATGTGATCTCATTTTTAGATCATGACATAAACTACAAAAGTGTCATTGCAGTTCTGCATCATAACCTTTCCAAGGAATGCACGAACCACAGAAAGCCTTTCTGCAGGTAATTCAGACGCAAGTAGAAGTGCTCTAAGAGCAGGAAGACAAACCAAAGGGCCGAACGAACCTGACGTGCAATGTACGACATTGCCACACGAGGGCGATGCGCGTCGTTCACTGCATCACTTACCAGCAAATAAACATCTTTACAAAGGTCTGGAAAAAAATTACTATTATTTTCCCCCCTTGCATTCATTATTGGACCATTTCTGTAAATAAAATGACAACCAAATGAAATGTAAATATCGAGTTTTATAAGAAAAAATTTTAGAAGGGGGAAGTAAAGACATTGATGTTTATGCTCATACAGGATAAGAACAAATCCATTCAGGGGATTTTCATTAAACTAATAATATATGATTGTTTTGGCAAACTAATCATAAGGGCTGGTAAGGATCTATATTGAGTGACACAACATACTTTTCTGCCTGTGATATTATTGGCTGAGTATAAGCAGCATGTTTTGATAAAAAGTCTAGCTCACAACTGCACAATAGGTAAAAGGCAGATTTATTGATATCTCATCCCTCTGCCTCTTAGTACAACTGAAGTAACATTCTAATTTAGGAAAGTTGCAAATGCACCACATATTGCTGTGAAAACAAGTTTACTTACTTGTTACTTATTCAACTCATTCTCAAGGTTATTACTTACTCAACTCATTCTCAAGGAACAGATTTACTTTTGTGTCTTCTCTTTGGCTAGAAATTAAGTATTCACACAAGTAGGTAGTAATTTTTCTATGCCTAATAGTGATACTCTTCCCTGACTTCTTTGCTATCCAATCCTTTCACACTCTACTGTAATTATCAAACATCCACTTAACATGAAGGCTTTTAAGGAAAATGCAGCAAGATACAGATAGCAGCTTAAACCATGACCTTACTCCATGTGTCATTTAAGAAAACTCTTGTAATGTCCTCCTGGCTTCTGCCTCTTTCTAACACAGAAGTTCCTCTGTTGTGTCTCCTCTCCAGGACTACAAGTTCCTTTGACTGGTGTCACGCCCAGAAGCTCTCTCGCATTGCTATGGCACATGTGTTACAAGGCATATCAATACTTAAAACCTTTATGCCTTATATGACGAGAGACTGGCAGCTTCAATATCTCCTTCAGTTAACAAGCAGCTTAAGGATACCTGAGACATGACTCACAGGGTCATGAAATAACTAGATTCAAAACAAAAAGAAGGGAGTTGTAAAAATATAAAATGTCATTGAATAGTAACTCTGTACCACAGAAGGGTGTGTGTAACTAAACACACGAGGGGAAAAAAAGCAAGCAGACAAACCCTGGGGAACAGGAAAAAAGAAACCACAAACCCAAAAATCCACTGACAACTACTGAGTACAAAACCACAGCCTCCTACTCCAGAAATCATGCAAACAAAATTACTTGGAAGAGTGGGTCAGTATTTAACAGAACTATCACTACCTGCTTCCTCTGTTCTCATATCCTTCACTAAATACCTGCTGTTAGCCACTGTGAGAAACACCACACTAGACTAGACATTTAAACGAGTCTTGACTTGTTTTTCTTTTCTGACACATCCAGGCTGCAAACTGTGCTGTTCTAGTTCCAACAACCAAGTGCCATAAAAATCTGCAGTATGTTTTGTCATGAAAACACTTACCATCTTCTCTTCATATTCTGGGTCAATTTCTTTTTCAGGCCTAGCTGCTTTTGGAGGGAGTTTGAGTTGGAACGGAGGATCATTTCTCTGGAATTCAAAAGTTAAACATTTTATAAATATCAGCTTATTTACTTTTTTACCAAAAAGATATTAAACCAAACAAACTTACAAACTACAAGATAACCATGCTACTTTTTAAAAATAGTGATTTCAAAATGAAGAGACAAAATATTCCTTAAATGAAAACAAAACTGACAATTGGTCACCTCAGGCACCTCCTCCACTCCCTCAGAAATAAATGACATTGGTATGTGCTACTGGGAAAAATATTGTCTCCCTACCTTAGGCAACTATGAAGTTTCTTCAAGGAGAACAACTGGTTCATTATTATGAAAATCCCTTTTAACTGAAAGTTTTCCAAGTAAACTGCAATGCAAATAGCTGCAATGCCAGTTCTGTGGTTACTCAGGTTTTCCCAAAAGAATAAAACTTATGGTAGCATACAAATCAAATTTACTCTGAAATGAGTATTTGTGACTCTGAGTTAAAGTAAATGAGCTGACATGTGAAGTTACTGCAGCCACAGCACTATCAAATCACACATCCTACACCTTACCTTTCAAGACAAAACACAGTTGCCCTGTCTCCCCACAATTCTCATTGCAGTGTTTCTGTTGAACATTAATGGCCCCAAAGTATCAGAAATAACAAAGGAGTTTTTCAGAAGCTGATGAAAGAGACAAACAAGACTCATGCATCCCTACATCCCTTCTCTTCCTCACAACTTACAAGGGAAGAGAACATGCTGCAGTTTCACTAAGATACTCCTCTGTGCTGGGGGAGCTACACAGGTAGTCGGAACAAGTGTCATATCCAAACTTGCCTCTGCATACCATTCTGAGTTCCAAAAATCTACACCTTGACAATTATTAGGCTTTGGTATGAGTAAGAATACTTCTTACTAACACCTGGACCATGTTCCTTATACAACACAGAACCACAGAATGTTTCATCCATCTGTGAGAGTTTTACCCTAGAAACTTTACACCATGTATTTTCATCACCTCAAGGCCTGACCTAACAGAAAACAACGGAAACCTCAGTGCAAGTAACCAGCAAAAAAAAGTGCTTTCATTTTTAACTCAGGAAACTCACTGATAATAATCTATCTCCACTCTAGAAACAGTTTTCAGTGTAGACTGAGAGAGTCCCCTGAAAGCTGGTGCCATTTAAGCACCTTACAAGAAACATGATCACACAGTAGTTTCAAAACCAACAGAGCCTGAATATTCCAAAGATCCAAAATACTCACCCTGGAAATTTCTAGTAACTACCCTAAACAGAAGTACTAACTTCAGGCTGAGAGATTTCTATAGAGTAAGTATAATAGTCCTAAATAGGAGGGGCCCTGTGAACACCTCAATAAATGACTGGGAGTAAGAACTACTGCTGCTTTAGTTGACTTCGCTCTTGTAACTTCTGCTATTGAAAACTCTGAACAGATGCACTAAGAATAATCAGAAGGACCTTTTGTGTTTAACTCAGACATACAAAGTGGAAATACATTCCAAACAGCCAGTAAGACACTGTTTTGGTACTACTACAACAAAGACTATTTATAATTAAATAAAACAGTGAGAAAGGAACAGAGCACAACAGGTTGTAACGCAGATGGCATAACCAACTGTACAGCTACATAACAAACCTGTGCCCCAACACAAAGGGATATTCAGGCTGGGGAACTAAAACTCAGGCAAAAACAAAGATAGTGAAGGGCCTAGAGGGGAAGTCATACAAGGAAGGAGCAGCTAAGGTTACTTGGCTTGTTTAGCCTGGAGAAGAGGAGATTGACAGGAGGTGAAGCAAAAGGGCATGGCATGAAGCTGTGTCAGGGGAGGTTTAGGTTAGATATTAGGAAAAGGTTCTTCACCCAGAGGGTGTTTGGACACTGAACAGCTTCCCAAGGCAGTGGTCACAGCATCAAACCTGACAGAGCTCAAGGAGCATTTGGACAATGCTCTCAGGCACATGACATGATTTTTGGGGCTGTCCTGTGCAGGGCCAGGAGCTGCACTTTGATGCTCCTTGTGGGTCCCCTCCAACTCAGGATGTTCTATAATTCTATGATACTGTCCAGTGTGGCACAGTAGTATAATGCCGATAGTATCTGAAATCATTCACTGCTTTCAAACAATTTATCCACACAGGCATTCTCTAAACATTTACCACCGACTTTTATCAGTTGACATGCATAAAACTTCGCAGAATAAGTTGTATCCAATAGAGAAACAGCCCTTAATCAGATAATATTCAGGGTTACACTGCACAGTGTCTCACAGCTGTTTGTATGTATAAGTAATGAAAATAAGCCTCAAGCATTCTTTATAGGCAAAAATGGCCTTTCAGTAACTAGGATAAAAATTCTGATTGCACTGCTATCAGGGGTTCTGCAATTTTGTCCAATATCACAAATATAGGATGTACGGTCCTCATTCTTACTAAGTTTTTATAAGATTCATTCTTCAGGTTAAATCTCGTTCAGTTTCCAAGGATACCTGAACACATTACTTTTTAGATTTCTTGTGTCTTAGCCTGTAGTCGTTATTCCAAAACACTAACGAGAGGAGGCACGCAGCCACACGTGCTCTTTCGAGGGGTCTATTCTGCATCACAGCAGCATCCGCGCTGGGCACGGGGATGCTCTGAGGCGACAGGGTTGGGGTACAGCGATTCAGCCACGAACTCCTGGGCTGCCACCGCAACATTCATCCCATCCCGCCCCGGGACAGCGTTACCTGGGAACTGGGGAAGGGAAACTACAGCGCGCCAGAGGACAGGCCCTGCAGGAG